CCACAAAACCCTATTTTTAAAAGTAGACCATACCAATTTATTCAATACAAGGCATGGGAGGGATGGCCAGCCATCCCCTTCTGCTTTACCCATGTAGTCCATGGATAAGTACATTCCAGATGGGCAAATTTTTTTTTAAAAATTCCATCGGGAGGATAAACCTAGAAGCGATCTTGTGGAACATCCCATCTTTGCAGTGTGCATTGCGTTTCATGGCCATGTAAATACAATATGTAAGTTGACATGGCCTTAGAGTGTGGATATGATCTGTTAAAGAATACATGGTCAGGCACCACTCACCATAGAGTGGGATCCAGACAATGATTAATAACAAAAAGAAAGAGGGGAAAAAAGCCCCTGAAAAGGAAGGAAAGAGTACCAAAAGATAACTTACCAAGTCAAAGTCTCATTGAAGTCTGAAGAATGGCTACATGGCTACAGGCAGAAGATGGTAATCCAAAGAGGAAGATACCCCCAATCCTATGCAAATAGTGAAGAATGTATGAGGGGTAGTCCACATGCCCGATTGAGGAATTTCCTCCAAGGGACAACAAAGATGAGATGCCAATGAAAAAGTAATGTGTTGTATTTGATGAGAAGACACCTGGAACAAAGTATTGGAGAGAGACGATAAAGAAGAATAAGCCAAGTTAATTAAAAGCCGAAACTAACTGATGAGGGTGGAAGGAGAAAGATCACAAACAGAAGATGTCTGCCAAGGAATAAAGAGGTGGGAATGGGCACCAGGGAAGGAAGCTGTGCAAGCAATATAGCAGCTAAGAGCATGTACAGGACATAGAAGCCTACCAGGATCAGACCGAGGATAAAAGTGGGAAATGAAAGAAAGGGAAATTGGTGAAAAAGAGGAGTTACCCTCTCGAGCTACCAAAGTTTTAGGGAGCAAAGAACAAACCAGATAAATGAGAATATATGTGGAATGATAAAAAGTACATGAAACATCGATGGCAAATAAATCTGACCTCTGACATCTACAAGCTAAGAGGAGAAGGAAACAAGTCTTAAGGGAAAGGTGAAACAAGGAGTACATGGAGAGTGGTTCAAACGGAGGCAAAGTGAGGCAGTGAACGACCACATTAACATCCCAATCTGGAAGGTCAGCCCCCATGGTGGACATCGAATCTGGAAGGAATGCAACAAAAGGGAAAGAGTAAGAGGTAAACACCCAACAATATCGGGAAAAATGAAAAGTGTGAGTCAAGGTCACCCGATAACCCAAGATCGAGGAGACAGAAGATCCAACTCTTGGGCTACTCTTTTACCAATGCAGAGTGGATTGACAATCACATTATAATGTCCCCACGGCTGAAAGGGCGAGCCTGTTTGGTGGAACGGGGATTAGAAAAGAAGCTACTTGTCAGGTCAAGCCAGATCTCCTCTCCATGAACCAGATAAAAACCAGGTGTGAAGACAGAGGACAGGAAGGACTGGATGAAACACTGGTGACTGAGGTTGAGGAAGAGGTAATGGAAGGGTAGTTTGGAGCTAGAGTAGCTGCGGGAAACATGGTTCAACAAGTCAGTAAAGAGCAATCAGAAGAACCTGACACGGAGTAGCATGAATGATCAAAATCACTCTGTGAAGAAGTTGAATGGGAGGATAGACATACAGGTATTTGTTGTTCCAATCTTGAATGAAAGCAAAACAAAGCCAATTTATAATTGAGGGATGTGGCAAATGCATCGATGTGACGAGTACCCTACTAAAAGCAAAGCCATAAGAAAACAAGAGGATCGAGAGACCACTCTATTGGATGGACTTTGTCTGCATGTGAAAACTAATCTGCAACAAGATTGAAAGCACCTGAACATGACACACAATGATATGAATATCTAGTGTGTGGGCTCAAAAAAGAAGATCAAAAGTATGAAAACACAGGGATCGAGAAAGGGTGTCGCACTGGTGATTGAGATAAGCAACCACTGTAGAATTGTCAGAATAGATCATTACCAGACAATTTCTGGCAAAATGGAGAAAATGAACCAAAGCACAACACACAACGAAAAGCTCCAGGATGTTGATATGATAAGGCCTCTCTGTTGATCGACCCATGCCCCCAGCCCTGAAGGGATGTGTCCATGAAGCAGGACACCCACCAACATGTTAGTCATGTCCAACCCCAAATGCAGATTGGCAACAAGGGCAGGAGAAAAGGAAATAGGAGCTTTCAAAGGATCCAACGCAAGATTCCACTGGTTGTGAAAAGCACAATGAAGAGCCTGCATATGTGCATGACCTAAGGGGATAATGGCTGCCATGGAAAAACACATCCTCAAAAGCAATAGAACCTCATGAGCTGTAATAGACTGAGCAGTAAGAGCATGGAGAACTGAAAGCTTTATCAAATGAAGTTGAAGAGAAGAAGGTTGAGACCAACTGAGATGGGTGTTGAAAAAAAACATCCAAATGGTCAAGATATTGGGTAGGCTGAAGGAATGACTTCTCCAATTTGATTAACCAGCTCAGCCAAGCCGCTTCTGGGAGCAACCGATGACTGTGATGGGAGACTCCTGTTTGGAATGATCTAACAGTAGCCAGATGTCCATGTAATGATGAAGGAGCAACCCGAGAGCATGCAAGTGACAAGGAAATACTTAGCCCACCCAACAAAAAAACATACAGGGCTGAAGCAAGCTGAAGGGCAGTGCATGAAACTGATAAGACACTCAGTGGTGAAGAAACTGAAGATAGGGTCACGACTGATGAAATATTGGGATATGCAAGTAAGCTTCACGATGTCCATCTGGGTCATCCACAAACGTAGAGAAAAAGCCCACCTGAGGGTGAGAAATAACTCGATGGTAAAATGGGGCAGAATGAGGAAATGAATGAGGTGGAACCAATCTATTACAAACTGCCAGTCTCTAGATGCTGACTGGTAGTAGGATCCCGAGGCATGAAACGGGTATCTGAAACAAAGGAAGGGGGAAATAAATTGTAGGACAAGTTCCTCTGATAAAACCCAAATAACCCATGGACCAGTGGTGAAAGGTCACCAAAGGGGAACAAATCTGTATAAGCAAGTTTCCACTGGCCTGGGTAGTCATCAGTACTGTTGGCATCGTCTCCATTTATGTCGAATAAAACAACAAGATGAAACCCCTGGATGGAGGAACAGTTGAAGGCTGAGAAGGACTAGGACAGGAAACAGGAATAGGGTCTTGTCTCAGCTCCAACAGCAACAAACGTGCAACCAAAGAGTAAAGAGTAGAGCACTGATGCACAGACTCCACATGTGATTCCAAAGTCTCAGGTACATCCCCGAAAACAGACCGCATTAGATGAAATGAGGCCATTCATAAATCCCTAAGATAAGGGGCAGTAAATAAACCTGGGACAAGGTCGCATCTCAACCCAGAAGATCCCAATAACAGAGAAACCATGTGTGTAAAACGACAGCTGAAGATAAAAATGAGTCAAAATGAGCCAACATGGAGATAATTAAGGAGAGGATTTCCCTCGAAAAACCCTCAGAATCTCTGTGGATCACATTGGAAAGGAGATGGATAGTAGATAAATACCGTAGAAGGGAAGTAGAAGTAAGATGAAGATGGGAAAACTGGGCATGAGATAAGTGCACAGGAAAATCAGGGATCACTCCCAAACTGCTGAGACTAGAGAAACGGACAGTCAGCCTGATGGTAAGCTAATGCAAACTCATCTGTAGCCCATGGAAGGCAAGGCATGCTGGCACTCTCAACCAGTTGTGAAGCAAATTGCTCAGCATGAACTCTAATATCTGGGGAGGTGAGAAAACCAAATACTGAGATGAAGAACTATTGTGCAACAAAGGAGGATGGGAATCATAAGAAATGGACAAAACATCACATACCTGAAAAATCATGTCTAAAAATTCTGTATTAGGCCTAAGCATAAGAAGACACAGCAAAATCCAGCAGTGGAAAAAGGCTATCAAAATCCTTGTTAGCCCGAACAGGTTCAGCTTGTTCAGGAGAAAGAGGCTGGCCCATGTAATAGTCACTCTCATGGTGGATAATTGCAGATAAGTCCAAGGACGTGTCTCCCCCACTTGCAGCTTGTGAGATAGTGCTAGTAGGAGGTATAATACCCAAAGTGGTAGCATTAATCTCAGAATTAATATTCGAAATATATATCAAACAAGTGTTCGATGGATAACCGTTCAAGTAAGAAAAAAAACAATTTAACTGAAACATTTTTCCTCAATGTAAAGATAAAAAAAAAACATTAATGAAGAAATTCCACTTCAGAAATTAAACTATTAAGAGTCATGAATTCGAATCATATGAAGAATACCAAAACATCTTAACACGAGTACTGCCAAATAAGAAGTGATAGTTTGGTAGAATAGAGGGAGTCACATTCATCAAGAGAGTATGTTGCACTCTTATTGGTGGAGGATTTTCGCATGATGATTTGCTTGTGAGACACATTGAAATCAGTCAATTCCAAATGGGTGGGAGGTCCAAGGCTTGTGGCATGCAAAAAAAAATTGTTTGCTTATAGAGGGCAGCACTGAACGAGAACAGGAAAATAATTCGCTTTGTCAATTTGGTTCTAAAATAACTAAACCAGCATGTGTAGACTTTTGACAAAAAAAAAAAAAGGGTATTATTTAGAATTTTAGATACAACTGTGATATTCTATAGTGTAAAGAATTTTTGTACATTTGACTTGTTTTGAATATATAACACAAGTAAGATTGTGTGCTGTCCATTTATTGTTTGAATTTATCCCCAACAAGTCACAGACACCTACTGCAAATGAATCCCAGCTCATATACAAAACCTTGACACCACCACATGAGTGAGACAAAAAAAATTATTGTTTTCAATAAAGTGTAAGCAGAAAATGCTGGAAGAGAGTGCCTACAAGACTAGACAAAATTTATCCTGAAAGATATTTAATTCAATATACACGTCATAAGACATTAGTATTAAGCCTATTAATGTTCGTTCAATCTCTTGGGGTGTTTGAAGAAGAAAAGTGTATAATAGTATTTCAACCACATTATGTCCACCATATCCCTTACATATGACGCTTTTCGCTAAATCCAGAGTTCATTAGGCCGGCTGACACACAAAAAAAAACACAGTTGTGGTGGGAACACTATTTATGTAAGCCAGTCGTCATACTATAACAATTGTTGAAAGAAATTTACTTAAAAACGAAGAAATTAATAGCCTCTAATCCTTAAAAATAAAATGATTATTTAGAAAGTTACACCATCAATAGATATACTATTATTCTCTTGAAAAATGCAAATAAAACTTCTAAACAAGAAAGTCAAACAATCTATTCACGTGACTGTCTACATTAAAAAAAATCATATTATAATATCAAGTTCAAAAGGCGGAAAATATGCAAGAGCATATTGAACAATATACATTATTTCATCGGAAGTCAAATACTGGAACACACCTGTATCAGTAATATCATTGTTTGAAAAACGGAAATCCGGATAAATAATGTTGTTGCTTTTTATGAGCCGCATTCTGTACTATCGGTATAGCGTACATTTTTTTTAAATCTCTACTAAATGATTCATCTCGTTTACTTATTTTTCATTTGGTTTTCTATGGAGTTTACAAGTCTATTTACAAAACTAATAGTTTTAACATGTTTTCATGGAATATTTTGAATGGTTATTTTGACACTTTACAAATATATATTTATTAAATGATGTCAGATCAGCTTTTTACCAGTACTTCTTACGCACTATTATACACCAAACCGGAAACCAATCAACTTCCGTTGAACTAAAAGGACACAAACCACAAAACCGAAAACAAGTCGGTATCCCAAACCACGCACTCCCGACTCGAATCTATGATACCAGCTATTATAGGGTGAAGTTTCAAAGTCTGAGATTAGGGAATTTTTCATACATTAATTTTTAAATCAGTAATAAATGATGATCTTAGTGAGATTTAAAGCTGTGGGATATCTTGTCGCTTTGGTGCTTACTATTTTAGGAAAGTATGCAATTGCTAAGCCTCTGATGAAATCTGACTCAGACCAGGTAAGTCCACTTAAACATTATTTAAATATTTAACTTATACTTACACTATTATTTTTTATACGTATTGAAAATTAAAGATACTAGCAGAAATGCTGCCTAACGGGCGGTTGTTTTTGCTAGAATTTACTGATCGTATTTATACTTCATTGAAAATCGTTTTTATATATTCAAAGTGGTACCCTGTATTGAAAAAAAGAACAGTATTTTAAGAACTCTACTTTTTTAGTACTATATTTACAAATTACATCAATGAAGATATAATTAAACCCTCACGTACAGTCCTAGTGAAAGTCGTGTTCTTGTTATGAGGAGAATACTTTTATTTAAAATTGTATTCTGTTGCATATACCGTAGTTATTTTTCTAATTGTCTGAATCTTGAATAACCAAAGTGGGAAACTTTTTCAGGGATTTTTATTTGTAATGCTATTCAATAGATAGCGCAACCTTGTATTTATTATTTTGGTCACATACATATATATAAATACACGCTACGTCCATTATAGTAAGAATTCAGAGGCGTTATTCTATTCAGTTTATGTGTTCTAAGAACTTATCAGTGAAAGTAAAGAAGAATGTATTAAATATATTTCAACCACACTTTATCTGCCATGCCCAGTGCCGACGAGGTCCCTCGCCCAATTTTAGTGTTCATCAGACCGATTGGGATACGACAGACAAAGTAATTGTATAGGTGATATTTATATCATAACCTTTATGAACAATGACGGTTATGGTGTGAACTAGATCAAGATAATGAATTGCAATTATTATTTATTTTATTTACAAATCAATTTTCTAACGCCAGGTTTAATAACACAATGTTATCTAGCTATTTTATTTTTAGCGTCAGTTATTTATTATTATTATATTTGAGTTAACTTTACTACTATTCAGAAGAATTGGCAAACCATCAAGCTAGTCTCATTATTCCTGGAGCGGGTCTAGTAACCACATAATATAAAAGCGTGCTGTAATTGAACTGGCTTTTTCGTGTAATATAGGTCAAAACTGTTATAAATAAATATAATTTATAGAAAACGAAACGTTTACACGAATTGATGAATAATTCTATATGTTTAAAGAACAATTACATCTCTTACTTTCAGGCATACGAGGTAAGATATCGTTATGAACGCGAGTTGAACACCACACAAGAAGTTGAAGTCACAACAAAAGTCGTGGTTGAAGTAGACACAATACTAGCAGGAGTCAGAACTGAGACAACAACATTTGGAACCGTTCAAGACATAAGAGGAGGTGATGTCAAAGTGGATACACCTTTGCCAACTAACGCAACAGCACCAAAGAACACCATCTCTGCTAAAATCAACGTGGATACTACACTTGATGAGTTTCGCGTAAACACAGCATCACCAACTAGAATCATAATTGGAAAAACATCATCAGAGGACAGTGCATTGGAACAGGTCAACATGAACACAGCACCATCAACTGAAACAATTGTTAATACAACACTATCGAAGAACACAACGTCATTAGAAATCGACGTGGACACTACAGAGTCAGATAAAACCCAGCCTAACACAACACCATCAAATGATTTAACGTCAGCACAATTAAACGTGAAGTCGACAGTGACTGAAGTCACAGTAAATACAGATGAACTATCACCCCCAAAGGTCAATACATCAACTAGGGCCAACGAGAATATAGCAAAGTCTGTTGAAACAAGCACTGATACGAATCCACCAAAGAACAGAGTAGAAGAGCAGCTCAATATGGATACAACAGCTTCAGTTCAAAGCATTATTGAAACGACACCATCGCAAGACACTACTCTAGCACAGGTTATCATGGATGCAAGCCTAATCAAGAATAAAGTGAACGTAACACCAGTTAAAGTTACAATAGATACCGCACAAACTAAAATCGATCTCGATACAGCTGAAAGTATTGTAACCGACACAACCTTGTCTGATAGAAAAATTACCATAAAGTCTTCAAGCACCACGGACGAAGGCTTGTCTGAAATACAAACGACGGCAATACCAATTGGTGTCATTAAAAATAGCTCAAATGTGACCTATATGAATATCACGACAGGTGAGATAAGGAGTGAAGTAATAGCAGCTATAATAAAGATCAATCCGAACGTTAATAGTGACAACGAGAACGTATCAGATATCGTTATAAACATGACAACAAGTGCGACTGAAGTCAGAACGGACACAATAATGAACACTAGTTTGCTTGAAACCCTAACCAATAATGCACAAACCAAGATAACAACCACCACTAAACCAGCTGGGAGTTGGATAAGTACTACATCAGCTATAGATGTTTCACCCAGCGCATCAGTTGATTCCATTACTGATAAAAAACCAACTGGAACTTTAATGATAACTAAAATTCTAAGAAGCACTACACCAACTGAAACCTTGGCAGCCACTAGCCCAACAAGAACCTCGTCAAGTGTAGGTGTTACAGACACTTTCACTGACAAAATTAGTACTAACTCTGAGAACATGAAAGACGGAAAAGAACGGCAGACGCCATTAAATACCGACATAACCAACGAAACTGAAATAGGAAATAGTTCTCTGAAAACTCGAAGCATAATTAGTGAAGGTACTCTCACGATAACTTACAGTGAAGTGACAGACGTTCCTAAATCCACAACGAAAGCCAAAAAATATCGGGATTTATCGATCAATGAAACTCGAAACAATAATTCATTTGTCCAATCCGTTCAAAATACAAACGAAACTACCGATTCTGCATCTCCCGGAGATGGAAAAGATCCAGGATTCTCTACCACTTTATCATCCACCCTAACAAACGATATAACAGATAAGATATTCCAGTCTCTTATGGATCGAATCCAACAGCACTGGGCTGAATTCATTAATAAAATGAAACAGTCGGTAATTGAAGCTTGGCAAACTATTTCCAGCACTATGCTGAGCTCTTTACAAACTCTTGAAGTATAGTAATGCTTCCTATAAGTACAATAATTAGGAGCATTTATACGCCTTCTAATTAAATTTTATTTTTCATTCTCCTAGTTGTCATTGCACGGTATAATAAAGTATGTTATTCTGACTGGTATAGCAGTGGTAATTTAATTACATATTTTAATGATCACGTGTCTAGTTACCATATAGATACAGTTAATTTCTATCACATTAAATATATAAATGATGCGTTATCGTATAAGTATTCTTCGAGCTGTTGGCATTCCGATTATTAACTTTGACATTTCGCAATGATTATAGATAGACCTGAAGTTCACATCGGTAAGATAATTTAAGCATTGAATTTTTCTTATATTGTTAGGTTTCTGAACGTCAAAGGGAAATATATCTTGGTAATGTCGTTTCGGAGAAAAATCTTGGTTCTTGATATTTTCTTGCAAAGTTGCACCACTGGTTTTCTGAGCATAACCGTTCTAAAGCCCCCCGGTGGCACAGCGGTATGTTTGCGGACTTACAACGCTAGAATCCGGGTTTCGATACTCGTGGTGGGCAGAGCACAGATAGCCCATTGTGTAGCTTTGTGCTTAATTACAAACAAACAAACCGTTCTAAATTTGGAATTGGGAGACTAGAGGGAAAGTAAATAGCGCTCATCTTCAACTCTTGGGCTACAGTCAGCTGATCGAATAGTGTGATTTGTCCATCATTATTCGCGTCATAAAAAAACAAAAAACAAATAGCGACATGCTTCTTTCTTTACATTCCTTTACACCAGGACGGAAGGTCGAACGTGGCTCATTGATTAGTGCCGGACTGTGAGTCCGAGGCTTTGTGGTTAGCGTCTTGTTACTGCAAAAAAAAAAAAAAATAATCGCGGTCCGCACTTTAAAACTGTGGGTAAGTTATAAGAATGACAGTAAAATAGCACTATTTGTTTAGAGTAGCTTACGAGTTGGCAGTGGGTGTTGTTGACTAGGTGCCTTCTCTGTCACCAGAAAATTAGGTTTGCTATCGCGAAATTCAACAACCGGAGAAACAAAATGTAAGTGTTCTCACTAAAGTTGTTTATTTTACTTTGTGTGACGTCTCAACAACGTTGTCTGCAACCATGGTAAAAACTAAAAGGTGAACTGAAAAATGATGTAACGTTTAGTTTGACATTAACTGTAAAGTGCTAAGACTAAACGAAACATTGATGATATAGTTTTCTTGTAATGTTTTCTAGCTTAGCGATAAGCTGCGGGGCTTATAAAACTAAAAATTCCAGGTTAAATACCCGCGATGGGCTCAGCACAGATAGCCCATTGTGTAGCTTTGCGCTTAACAACAGACAAAACCTTAATTTAAGACCTGGAAATAATGGCTATTAAATAACTGACAAATTTAAGCCTCACCAAAAACAAAACAAAAATCATTTTAAATTAATACTTTTATCCTAATGAGACTTATAATCTTCCTGGGAAGAATAAAGTATTGAAGTACTTAATCTAAGACACGCTGTTCGTTCAAACATTTAGATGTGACATAATGGCTTAGGATTGGAAATAAGTCAAACAGGTACTCTTCCCACTGCGCACGTATTTAAAACCCGATTTTAAGCATTATAAGTCCCCAAACTTTCCATTGAACCACCGGGGGCTCTAAATTAGTAAATGACATTTTTACATATCTGTTGTGTAAGTTTAATTATAAGTTGTGTTACGAAGCTACTCACCAGCAGATGGTGATTTTTTGAGAAGTGCTGTATCTGTGATTGAACAAACTTGAAGAATTTTACTTGTAATGAATTATTTTTTTGTATAAAATATGTTTCTTGTTTGTTATCTAATACTATAAAATACAGCGTGTATCTGTCTGTCTGTCTGTCTCTAGGTCTCGCACTGATGTCATAGCAACTTAATCTAAGTAGTTTGGCTTCCTGTCAGTTGGATTTGTTTATTTGCAATTAAGCACAAAGCTACACAATGGGCTATCTGTGCTCTGCCCTCCACGGGTATCGAAACCCGGATTCTAGCGTTGTAAGTCCGCAGACATACCGCTGTGCTACTGGGGGCCCTGTCCTGTCAGTTGGAAGCGAGTATTCTAGGATTGATCAAAAATTAAAGATATATTTGGAATAAAATGTACAAAAAATTGCACCATTTTCGCAATTTGAAAACGTATCTTTGTTAAATCATCGAGTTACGCCAGAAAGGGCGTAAATATACTTTAATAGACATTTTATACAATATATTAAAAGCTTATCGAAGTTTTTAAAAAGGTCCAACGTTATGTCGTAGAATAATATTAGAAGATTATTTATTGATAGTATTAAGTGCAGTAAGGTTTAGCCCTAACTAAAGCAAAAAACGTACACTAGTTACGGAGATAATTTATCTCTTTATCGAATATAGGCCGTACTTAATAAAGGTTTTAACTAATGTTAGGACTAAGACAAGTGGACTTATAAATTTCAGTGTCTGAGGCTAGAATTATTTTGTATTACTATAGAAATCCTGTATTTAAAGAAGTACTGTTGCAATAAAGATACTTATTTGACCGCAAATGTTTTGCGGATCTCTGCTAGTTTTATAATAGCATATTACGTTGATTACTATAATCGATATTTTGAGGCTGTAACGCTTATTATACTGTTACGACAGCGGAAGTCGCGCGATGTTTGGAGCATGCGATGGAGTTCTAGAAAGATCGTGATTGTTTCTCGCAACTATAGGCTTTTCTAGGCATGCTATGTTCTAGTATATAAGCCGGAAAATAAAGTGACGGCGGAGAGAATAATTGCAGACAGGCAGAGATAGAGACCTACAATAGAGTCAAGCCGTAAGTAAAGTGTGTAAATCGTTGTGAATTCTAGCGTGTGTTAAGTTGAAGTGACTGTGGAAATTAAGTGTATTGCAAAGTTTTATTGAGAAAGAATAAACTAGTTTTATTTAAGAAAGGACTTGTATCGCTAAAGTTTTTCGGAAAGAATTTCTACGGAAAATTGACAAACGACCAGAAACTTAACAAATTGGTGTCAGGAGTGGGATGAAGAAAAAAAGAAGATGGAAATGAAAGATGACAAATCAAACTACAGCTTAGCAGATTTGATGGCAGCAATACAAGAACAGTAAAAGAAACAAGAAGAACGAGAAAATAAACAAGAAGAGAGACAACAGCAGTGGCAAGAAAACCTGCAACAGTGGCAGCTCGAACAGCAAAATACACAAGAGAGAGATTACAGCAGTTGTTGGAGGGAAAATTAAAAAACAAGAAGAACGAGAAAAGAAACAAGAAGAGAGATTACAGCAGTTGTTGGAGGAAAAAGAAAAGACACAAGAAGAGAAATTACAGCAGTTGTTGGAGGAAAAAGAAAAGAAACAAGAAGAGTCATTACAGCAGTTGTTGGAGGAAAAAGAAAAGAAACAAGTAGTACAAGAAAAGAAACAAGAAGAGAGATTACAGCAGTAGCAACTGGGACTAGAAAGGAAACAAGAAGAAAGTATCCAACAGTTGCAGGAAAGTCAGCAGCAACTACAGGAAAGTCAACAACAGTAGCAAAAAGTACAAATGGAAAACATTAGTAAATTTCAAAGTGAATTAAATACATTAACCCGATGACTACCGGTACTAATTCTCTTAGTAGTGTCATCCCTTACACAGAGATCAGAAACGAAGTGCTCATCTTGCGCATGAAGATCACAGAGGTCATATATAAAGTGCTTTCTTACAAGGAGAGACCATATTTAACCCGATGACTACCGGTACTAACTTTCTTAATAAGCAATGCAAGTGTGCATTTGTGAATTGAAAAAATGATAGAGAACTTATCTTTTAATGGATTTCTGATTTTATTTTTATAAATAGTAGCATAACATTCAATTATTTGTACAAAATAGTATTCTTTAATGAAGTTTAAAGAGGAATTTAATGAAAAAATTCCTAAAATACGTTTTAGACTGTAAACAAGCGCCCTCTACGAAGAAATTTTTTTTTCAAATTTTTTTTTAAGATATTTCCTTTCACCTCAGCACTGGTTCTATGATTGGTATCTAAACCTTTTTCTAGTGCGTTTTCTTTATAAAACTG